CCTTTCATGTGCTCTCTGTCTCTCTCATTCTCTCTGTCTCAAATAAATAAATAAAATCTTTAAAAAAAAAAAAGAAAAAACTTATGTTCACACAAAATACTGTATGTGAATGTTTTGAGCAGTTTTATTCATAATGGCCCAAACCAGAAACAACCAAAATATCCTCCAGTGGATAAATGGATAAACAAACCTTGGTACATTCCTACAATCAAATACCACTCAGCAATAAAAGGAATGAAGTATTGATAAACAGTACAATGTATTATGCTATGTGAAAGAATCCTGATTCAAAAAGCTATATATAATATGACTCCATTTAAATGACAATCTGGAATAGGGAATATCATAGGGATGGAGAATAGATCAAATGCTGCCAGGGGCTTTGGGTGGTAGGGGAGAAGATGACTATAAAAGAACATTGGGGGAACTTTTGAGGGTGATGGAACTGTTTTTGATTTTAAAGCTGGTTATACAACTGTATGTGTTTGCCAAAACACATAGAACTATATGCTGAAAATGGTTCATTTTACTGTATACAAGTTATAGCTCAATAAATCGGACTTAAAAAATCTGAACTTCGTTTTTTAACAAAGAAATTTTAAATTAATAATCAAAAGAGAAAGTATAATTTCCATTCATAGTAACTATTTCCAAACCCAAGCCTGTTTGCCATCCTGCTTCTCTACAACCACATATAAATGTTGCTATTTTGGGAGGGGTGAGGTGAAGGGGACGGGCTTTATCTACTCACTGGAATTCCTGGTTGGCCATTCTCTCCATCTTTACCCGGTTTACCCTATAAGATTCAAAGAAATGCAAGAATATAAATTTGTTATTTAGGAAGTATGAGATTAAAGAATATAACAAGCTTTATCCCTGCTTTGGACTATTAAGTAGACTTTTCAGACTTCAATATTGTAATAAATAATTGAATATGACATTTTGAGACAAAGTAGGATTTAAGAGGAAAGAATAAAATTACACAAACACACATTTAAAATCTTTTGCAAAGAGAATTAGTGGTCATAATACTTACTCTTTTGCCAGGCTCTCCTTGCTCACCCTTCTCACCTTTCATACCACCTGGAGGACCCTGTACACACAAAAGTAGTTTTACACTGGTTCATGGAGTGCTATGTATCAATACCAATTTACATTAAATGACATTAAAGAATTTTAGGTGACTTACCGGAGGACCACGTATCCCTGGAGGTCCAGGAGGTCCTTGGTCACCAGGAAGTCCCTATGCAGTAGTAGGGGAAAGGAAAGCAACATTAATACTAGAGCTAGCTAAGAATACTTTTAACAAACTGTACTATAGACTCAGGCAGTATAACTAAAGATAACAGGATGTTTCTAATTCAAAGTTGAAATCTGCTAGGCAAAAGAACCAAGAGCCATCTTTGCTTACTTCAGTTCATTTCTAATGTATGTACAAGCTGAGTTTTGAGGTAAATAAAAAGACAACACTTAAAATTAAATTATTAATGATACATTTTATAAAAAGCAAGAATACCTAAAACTAGGAGATATAGGGGCCATATAACACACATATATTTGGCAGAGAATTAAATGATCCAAACCCATATTGATGGTAGAGTTTCAATACAATTTGTCCTTTATTCTTAACTTTATTATTAGCATTTAAAGTGAAACAACAATGTACACACTTTGTTCAAGGGTGGGTCACTATGCTATAAAAGATATGTATGATCTCATCTACTCTAGTAGAAGCAAGGTATCAGATAATTACTTCTAAACACAACAAGGGTTTATAGAATAATACTCTTTGTATATCAGTGAAATGTAGAGAAGACAGTCATCTAAGACAATGACCATCCACCTTACCATGACCTAATTTTGTACATGAATGCATTATTCATAACAGCCAAAAATGCAAACAATCCAAATGTCCATCAACTGATAAATGGATAAACAATATGCGGAATATTCACACAAGGGAACATTATTCAGCCGTAAAAAGAAATGAAGTATAATACATGCTACAATATGGAAGAACCTGAAAACATACTAAGTAGAAGAAGCCAGAAACAGAAGACCATATATTGTATGATTCTATTTATGTGAAGTGATCAGAGTAGGCACATCTACAGAGCCAAAAAGTAGATTAGTGGTTGCCTAGGGCTGAGAGTTTGGGGAGAAATGAAGAGTGACAACAAATAGGTATGGAGTTTTGGAGGTTGGCTGATGAGAATGTTCTAAAATTAGATTGTAGTCATGGTTTCACTACCCTGTGAATATACAAAAAAAAATAGAATTGTACACTTTAAATGGGTGAATTGTATGGTATGTAAATTATATCTCAATAAAGCTCTTTAAATATTTAATTATCTCAAATTCTTGTTATTTTTAAAGTACCTTCACATATAATTATATTCCAACTTATAATGAATGCATTTTAATGAAATGCCACTTTTATAGCAAAATGTTCATTGATTTCCTCTCTACATACTCACCTGATCTCCTTTCTGAAACTCCACATCAACTGGTCTTTTCTGTTCACTGATCTGCCCAGGTGGCCCAGGGGGGCCCTGAAGACCTTGCTCACCCTGTTTGCAAGATTTAATAAGAAAGTAATATTTCATAATTTACACAGACAATAATATAAAATGTAAGCTAAGTCAGATGCAAGAAGCAAAAAGACGAGCTCAAATGATGAGGAAAGGAGAAAATTGAGGGCTGAATAATCAACATTTTTCTTTACTCACCTTTTCACCCTTGGGTCCCTGGAAATTTAAGCCCATATTCCCCTGAAGAGAGAGGTTTTAGTTAAAATCTCATTGACACTAACAGAAAGAATTCACACCAAATAAAAAATGTACATAAAAGAAAATTACCTTTGGTCCTGGAAGTCCTGGTGGACCAGGAGGGCCCTAAGAATAGAAGACACAGAAAAGGAAAAAAGGGATATATTAATAAGTTTATTAAAAAATTATTCAATTTTAAAATAATTATTTGGTTTCATAAAAAGCAAAGACAAAGCCCTTCAAAATAATATTTTCCTGTTTTTTTCTCACATTTAAATTGATTTTAACAAACCAGATGAATGTGGAGACTTCCTGTGACAGCATACAAGTAGGCAGGGGAAGAAATACAAGGATATGTAGAGGCAAAGGGTTAACACCCCAGTGCCAAAAACCAATATAAAAGTTAATCTCAACAAACATATCAAATTTCTCATGTCAGAATTATAGGTAAAAAATTTAGGACTCATAAGGCAATTAACTCTCTAGTTCTAAAAAGCATGTGTTTCCTTTTTTAGTTCAGTTTTATTTTCATGTGACCTGACTTTGTAATGTTTCAAGGCTTGAAAAGTTAAATAGGCATTTGTTTACCCAAGTGTATCACGTCTTTGATCTCAATGGATCTATTCATTTACATATTGTACCCTGGTGGCACTTCTAAGACTTTGCTTCAACCTGTTGAATCAGGGTTAATTGAAGGAACATTCAGAAGTGCAGAGTCAATCAGTTATATAGCTACAAGAGTTGAGAAAATTTCAAGATGTAACAACACACCACAAGAGTTGAGGAAATTCAAGATGTAACAACACACCTAGGGTATACTGATGCTGTAAAAACAGAGTTAGGAAAAAGTGCCATAGTCCAGAGTTTCATGTTTTGCAGGATGTCTACAACTAAAATAGACTAAACAAAGGGGGTTTTCTAATCCTCTTGTAGATACTTCCAGGAAAGCAGAAATCACAATCTTTTCTGGTAGATTCTTTTAGTATTTTCCAAATGTTATTTCCTTCATTCAAGAATAGAGGACCAATTGTCACAAGCAAAATTGTGCAATCTATAAAGGTATAATGAAAACTGTCACTTAAATATATGGTAGATGAGAGATAGAGTGGCACATGAGAAATTACTTTGACTGAAGTACAATTTTCTTGCCCTTTTAAGAGGCAAAGCTCTAAGTCCAAAACATGACCTGAATGAAATCGAAGTATTTCAGGGGCAAAAATACTCAGAATTTAATTACAGTAGAAAATATGAGTGACCACAGAGGTAGTAAAGCAAGAGAACTAGCTGCATAGTCAAGTCTTTAGAAGTTTTTGCTTCTTTCCTGGGGTATACAAATCCTTACCCCATTGCAGAGTGATTTACTACCCTCACCAATCCTACTGTTTTGTCACAGGCCCCTCAGAAATGAGAGCTAATATTTTTTTCTGAATACCCGTTTTTGTTCCTCTTAAACAGAAAATTGCAGTTAGAAGAAACATATTTCATCAAGTGACTAGAGAACTGCCCTAGAAGACTGACAGCAATGACTAGAATCAACTTTAACACTGACATATCAAGAGGTAACCAATGAAATATTTTATTTTAAATCTTTCCTTGTGTGTACCTCATTTTCCCCCATCTATAAAATGAAGCTATTACTTAGCACATATATTGTTCACCATAGCATTGTAAAATATCCTGCAAATAAAAAAATATATACATAGGGGCGCCTGGGTGGCTCAGTCGTTTAAGCATCTACCTTGGGCTCAGGTCATGATCCTGGAGTCCCGGGATAGAGCCCTGGGTCGCACTCCCTGCTCAGTGGTAAGCCTGCTTCTCCCTCTCCTACTCCCCCTGCTTGTGTTCCCTCTCTTGCTGTCTCTCTCTCTGTCAAATAAATAAATAAAATCTTAAAAAAAAAAAAACACATCTTTATAATGATGTACTATAAGTGGGCTAATTGAATTTAAATAAAAAAAGAAAAGAAAATGCTTCTATCTTCATGAAAGATGTTTGTTGAAAAAATAAATAAATAAAAACCATCCTTACTAGATTTACAAATTTATCTTCTAAATGCATTTTAGAATCAGTCTGTCAGTTTCATTTTAAAAAAATACTAGAATTTTGAATGAGATTAATTTGAATTTAAAGATTAAATTTTGGTAGAATCACCTGTTTATAATATTGAGTTCTCATATGAAAAATTAAGTGTATCTCTCCCTTTATTTATTAATTTTATATTATTTAATGATCTCTTACAGAATTCTGAAAAAAGGTCTTACACATCTTTGGTCTGGTTTACTCATGGGTTAATTTACTCCTGTGAATTTTATTGCTATTACTATTGTTAACTGGATTTTTTTTCTTATATGTTTAATTTTTTTACTGCTGGTGAAGAGAAAGGCAAATAATATTTAAGTATGCAACTATCATATCTGGCCGCCTTGCAAACATTCTAAGTTCTGGTAATTTGTCATTTGATTCTTTTAGGCTTTCTAGGTAGATTATGATAGAGTTTGTGAATAACTAAAATTTGGGGTTTTGTTCCATCCTTACACCTCGTTTTTCTTCCAGACCTAGTGTACTGGCTGGTCTCTCCAGTGTAAGGACAAACAGTATAGGCAACTCTGAGTATGTGTATCTTATTTTTTATTTGAATGAGAATGTTCTGATGTTTTACCACAAAAGTATGGCATTTTCTGTACAATCCTGCACTTGCTATATGAAGCAGAGAGCTTCATCAAGTTCCCTTTTAAACTTAGTTTGATAACTTTTTTACCTTTTAAAAATTGAATGGGTATTGAATTTTATTGACTGTTTTCTTTGCAAACATCGGCCTAATCTCTTTTAATCTGTCAGTGTAGTAGTCAATTACAGTAATGTTGAACCATCCTTGCAATCTTAAGGTAAAATTTAGTTGGTCACATCATCATATTATTTAATATATTTCTGAATTGATTTGCTGATGTTTTATCTAGGATTGTTGTTTCTACACTCATAAATGAGATTGAATTATAATTATTTCTAGTGCTATCTCCTTGATGGTTTGGTATCAATGTTATTAAATTAAATGTCCTGGGGCGCCTGGGTGGCTCAGTCATTAAGCGTCTGTGTTCAGCTCCGGTCATGATCCCAGGGTCCT